CTAGTGCTACCCATATTATTTCCTACGAGCAGACTCAGAATCCCTTGTATGATAGATGAATTGCAAGAGCAAAATGCCATCACTGGGGCCAGAGCTATTATTAATTTTTATTTCTGCTGGCACTTGAGAGTAGCTTGACACTAGAGTAAATGACATGCCGACAGCAGCAAGCACACAAGCGGGGCTGTGCCACACAGATTGCTGCCTTTAAGTTTCTGATTTGCAAAATGTATAATCAGCAATAATATGCTTGGCAAGTAGCAGAGGCATCTGAGTTTTCCCCATGTGTTGTGTGGGAGGTCAACTTGATGGAAAAGGTCTCAGAGGCTGGTAAGTTTGGGTTTATTGGGGAGAAAAACATACTTGAAATTACATTGGCATGACTGAATTTGTACAAATCGAGGAAATAACTACAACTGAAATGAATTATTTCTTGATTCAATTAAAATACTAATTATGAAATGGCTAGAACCTGTTAAATAAGGTTAGATTCCAGTTAGGCAATAGAACCAAAAGGAATGAATAGCATAATGTTTTTCAGAGAAGTGGGGACCAGCGACCTGGGGCGAATTGCTTCAGTTCTCTAGCTTTCACTCCATGTGCAAAGTATGACTGACTATACAGTCACTGAGTTTGTGGAAAAGATTCAAGGACATATATGATGATATAGTTATATCTGAAATACAGGAGGTGGCACATTACGATTATCTATTATTTCTTCTGTCATTTGTAGTGAATTTACTGTTGATGTCTTTAGATTTTAAATGAGACTTGAAAGTATGAAAACATGGCAAGGAAAGGAAAATAAAATTATTAGTAACACCTGCTTCAATTATGTTGGCCTGTTAGTTTTCTTCAAGTTGCTAGAAATGTCAGCCGTTGTCTGAATCAAATGGTATAAATCAAGCAATTCTCAATGTGGGTTTTGGGTAGGCTGATTGACAGCTGAGTATTGTGCAAAGTCTCTCAGACTTAGAAAACAAAGCCCATGTCCTATTCTACATCTGCACGTGCTAGCTCTATTCTTGTTTGAGGAGCATTTAACTTCTCTGGACCTTGATAAGCTAAACTAATAAAATAGTTATCTCAGTTCTTAAAATTAAAATAATACAATGATGATGAGATGCTGAGAATAATCACCTGCTCTAGGAAAATGAAAATAAGGCTTCCTATTAGAACAAGTTAACTTATTGTAGTGTGATTGAGCTTGCAAAGGCATGAAGACAGGAAGCAAGTGCTGAAGGAAGAGGCCAGGTGAGCGCCAGTATATTTCAAGAGCCCTGATCAGAGAGAAGAAGTGAAGTCCTGGGCAGCAGTGGAGTTGTTATGAGGTGCCATCAATGAAAGCCAACTGGTAGGAATTTGAATGGCATATTTGAGAAATGGAACCCAAATAACATGCATGAGGCCAAATTATTTCCATTGGAGGATGGAGGGACTGGCAGTAGGGGCTACACAATTCATGTTGTACTTGGTTAATAATAATAATAATAATAAATCTGTCCCAGGGTATGATGAAGTGGGTTTGCATGTGCTTGTCTGGCAAGGACAGTTGGGGGGAACAGGGTTGGAAAGTTGGGAGGCAAACAGTAGTTAAGATTTCCATGTATATGTATATATGCAAATAATATATACAGTTCAAAGATTCCTTTACCAGAGGTGGAGAATGTGCTATGGGTCTGGGGAAAGGTAAGCAGGCCTTGGTTTTTAGAGGAAAAGACTGAACAACCACACTGCTAGAAGTTAGTTCATTTCAGAAGCCAGATCTTTCTCTCTCCCCAGAGCTCCCTGTCAGTGAGGAGTGGGGATTGTGCTTGAGAATCTGCTGGGAGAAATGCACTGAGGAGCTTAGAGGGAGGAAAAGCAAAAGAGGAAAAGGAGTTTCTTCTAAAAGGAGGCAAATAGGAAATGATTAATGGACATACTTTGCAACCGTCCCCAGTCCTCCAAGGCCTTCAAACTCGCAGACATAAGCATGCGATTAAAAAGCGGGGAGGAAACCATGGGACCTATGTTTCTTTGGGCCAGGCTTACTCCAGTTAATATAATTTTTTCAAAGTCTTTCCATTTCCTAACAAATGGGGTGGTATCACTCTTTCTGATAGAGGCATAGAATTCCATTGTGTGTGTGTATGTATGTATGTATGTATATATATATGCACACATATATCATATTTTCTTGATCCATTCATCTACTGAGGGGCATCTGGGTTCGTTCCATATCTTAGCTATGGTAAATAATGCTGCAATCAACATAGATATACTGGTAGCTTTAGTATGGTCTTGTTTGTGATCATTTGGGTAAATGCCCAAAAGTGGGATTGCTGGGTCAAGGGGAGCTCTATGTAGAGTCTTTTGAGGAACCTCCATACTACTTTCCAGAGTGACTGAACAAGTTTACACTCCCGCCAACAATGCAAAAGGGTTCTCTTTTGGCCACATCCCCTCCAGCATCTGTTGTTATTAGAGTTCTTGACTATAGGCATTCTAACTGGGTGAGGTAGAATAACTAGTATATGTCTAGGACCAGCAGAAAACGTAAAAAATTATGTACATATGACTATATAAGATGATGTTAAGCAAAATGAACCCCAACATAGAGACACAAGCGGGTTTTTCTTTCTTGCTATTGTTTTTAACGTATTTACACTATCCTATGTGATTTTTTTGTTTCTTTGTATGTTCCTCCCCCACGGTATAACCCCTGTTGTCACTGTATTTGATTCCAGTGCCCTGCATCTTGTATATACATTTTTCTAATTTGGGGAAGGGAAAGGAAATAACAAAATGCTTAAATAGGGATACAGGTTGGCCCATTGTAACAATAAGATATACAAGCACTATGTTGAAAACGAACTTTACAACTTTGGTGGGGGGAAGGATTTGGGGAGGTGGGGAAGGAAGGGATGGCATTAGAAAAACAAAGGAGGAGGTAACAATGCTCCATAGGAAATGTACTCATTACCTTACTCATGTAACTGTAATCCCTCTGTACAGCATTTTTACAATAAAAAAATCATTAAAAAAGACAAAAAGAAAAAAGGCAGGAGACGCCAGTAAGAGGACTCCATTGTGACATGGAATGCACTCTACAAAAATTGGAGGATTCATCATAAATTTGGGGACAGAAACTCCAGACAGCTTATTTTATTCCACGTATATACAGGGAATACAACAGAAACATTCTATTCTACAACAAAGAAAAGCCCATTCATCAATGGGGCTTTTGTTGTAAAAACAAAAGAATTTATACCATCTATAACCCTTCCCCCCAAAAGACATTTCCTTAGGTTCTTTCTCTTCTGAAGCCAGCAAAAGTACTTTCGTTCCTTTCTCAAGGGTACTATCTTTTCTGAACTAACTAAGGCAACCTGCCTTTCCATGTTTAAGTGAAAATTGGTTTTCGCTACGTGCCCAGCCTCGGACCATGTGTTCACTGTCCTTCTCCCACAGTCACTGTGTGAACCACCTCGGAAGTCATGAGAGGAGGCTGCTCTTCAGTAGAGAACTCAATTGTGAGAAGATTGGTATGGTACAGTCCTTTGAGAGTTATGAAAAAGACTTGACTGACTGACTTCTTTTATGTCTGTGACCCAGGGGAGAGAGTGGGAAAACAAGGTTACTGTCTAGACTAGAGTAAGACATTTCTTTCAAGGTTTCTCGCCTTTAAATGGTGGCTGACAGGAAGCAAGAATTCAGCATATTTTTTCTTGAGTGCCCTCAAGAGGAGGGAGCAAGTGGCTGAGTTCCTAGGGTGCATCACACTTGTGCAGAGTTCACAACTGCTGCCTTATCTCCATTCAGAACTCACAGCCCTGTGGACAGATCACTAAAGGATTGCTGGACTCTTATCTTACAAAACATGGCCAGCATAGCCTTAATCCATAGAGTCTCATCACTGAGTAGACGTGAATGATTCAGCTCTCTGATGGCCAGTAGCAAGGTCCTTGGGCAGGGACAGTCATGAGGGGGAGTTCCAGGTTACCTTGATTGTAAACAGCTTTCTGCTGTTTCCTATTCTCTTTTGGCTGCATTTTCACTGGGCTTGCTTGAAATACTGGGTTGCTGAAGAGGCTTTTCCCTAGGGGCAGGAACTCTGAGAGGAATTGGAGTGGCTTCGGTGTATGAAGAAAGGGGTTGCTGAATTTTCACTGGCACACAGATTGTTTTCTTGTCCAAATGGAAAAGCCTGCATGCTTTCCACATGGTTACACTGGCCATCATTTATCATAATAACAAGTATTTATATACTACTTGGCAGCTTATACAAGAATTAGGGTATTAGCATCTTCTTTCACAGACAAGTGAACTAGAGTCAGACCGATGGACTCATCTGCACAAAGTCACAGAAGTGACTAATGGTAAAGCGAGGACAGGAACTTAACTCCCATGACTCCTCTTTCTGAGATATCCTGTTGCCTTCTGATACCAATTGCCAGGCATAGTAAGTGTAAACATTTTCTTTGCTTGCTCCTGCTTTTTAATTTTGTTTTTTTTTCTACCATGTCATTCCCACTCTTATAAGTAGCATTGCCCATAACATGCCACGACTTGCCAGTCTTTCTTGCTTCCATTTCTTCTCATCTCCCACATTCCACCCCTCATCAGAGGTGACAATCTCCATAACCACATCTCATCCACAGGGAGTGTCCAGAGTGGCAGCAGTAAGGGTCCACTGCCATCCCAGAAAGCAGAAAGGTAAAGATTTAGGGTATAATGTTTGAATGGGGAAGGTTTCCTAAGGAAACCTTTGTCCACATCTCCAAAGGAATACGTAGATGTATACAGAAATGCACAGAATTTTCACTAACACTATACAGAGCCTGGAGAGACGACAGGTAAGTAATGAGACAGGTAGTATAATCAGAAGGGTGCTGAAGTGGAATGCCGAGATTCCTTATCATAATACTCCTTGAAACCGAACAGTAATTGCTTTCAACAGCTTAACCAGATAGATTGCTTCATTATTAAAAGGCATGAAAATAAAAGTTTAAACTCACCCGCAAGATTTCCTCAACACAGCTTGGATCACTAGGAAGGCTTACCTAAAATAAACAGAAAAAATACATATAATTTAGGCATTTTCAGCAAAATTTACTACATAATAGTTTACTCTGTAGGAGACAAATTGTAAATCAAGAAAAAAAACTAGGTACCACATTTTTTCCTAATAATACAAAACAGCAAGATTTGTAAATGGCCAATTTTGTTTTATTTTAATGAAGCATTGCAAGGTACAGAAAGTCCTGTCACTGATTTGCTGTGGGACATTGAGCCATCCTTTCTCCCTCCAGGCTTCTTTTTGCTCATTTACCCAAAGAGAGAGCTTGATCAGATGATTCTTAATGTATTTGCAACCCTCAGACATGGGATTATATATTGTGCATCTTAATGATGAGGCCTATATAAAACACCTCTACTGTTAAATTGATTCCTCCTTGAAGTTGAGAATCTAACCTGATGCCTAACATTTTTATCCAAAACACAAAGGCTGAGCTGTATGAACTGCAGGCTTGTTTTAGCACTTAGAATCTCAGACATACACCATGTGAATACCATGAGCTCTCTTTCCCTGTGTGACACCTTGGTAATCAATCAAAATTCAAGTCACTAGGAGAAACACACTGAGAGCTTACCCCATGTCAAATACATGACCCTTTTAATGTAGGGGCTCCATTATTAGTGAAACCAAGAAACCAAAAACCAATGTAAGTACCAGATATACCACAGTGTGTGATGCGCTTGGGAGTAGGACAATTGCCTGGAGTAATGTCTACTGATTGCTGTGTTACGTGTGCAGGTTAGGCTCATCCTCTAGCCATTCCTAGCTCTCCCTTTCACATGTTCACTCTCTTCAGGGTTATATTCTGATCACTCGTTTCCCTCTTCATTTGCCAAGGATTACAGTGGGAGATGAAAGGTCAGTCCTGCAAGCTACATGCTCTACATGTCCCTAGTATCATGTAAAGGAAATTCAGTACAGTAAGATAAGAGTTGGATCTCACGCAATAACATTTGATGAAATGAATAATGATAGACTATGGCATCAGATTTCCTCAATCTTAAAATTGGATTAAAATGCAGCAAGTTTTAACTCTTAATATCACTATTGTAGATATATTAATTTCAAAGAGCACTTGTTGGATTGCCTCTACATAAGAGTCCCTACTCCAGGAAGCACAAAATCCCAAGTAAGAGTAACAGTAACAAGCTAAGCCATTGTCACCAAGAACAAGGGGTGATCCATCCTGGTTTATGCAGTAAAATATCAGGTTATACTTATTATCATGATGAAATTATTAATAACACCCATTTCATCTTCAGAAATATCTTAACATGCATGACAATAATTATAGAGTCACCTTTCTAGTAACAATAATCCTCTAATACAGGGTAGAAGAAACAATATAAGAATAAGCTGAAAAATGGCTGGAAACACATTGTCAAGAATCTAAAATCACAGGTTTCAGATCGGGAACACAGGTGGGTTTGCCCAGCACAATTCAACTCATTCTCTTAACAAGTATTTTTGAAGGCTCAGTCCTATGAACCAGGTTGGAAGTATGTAGAGATACATTGGGAAACAAAAAGGGATACAATTTCTGCCAAAATGCTACTTTGGTAACTGCTACAGAGGAAATCATCTCATGTATACTATCTGTGCCAAATGAAAGGGTGTATGTCCAAATAAATGTGGGAAATGCTGCAATCCACATCCCCCTTTATGACCTACAATTCAAATCAAAGGTTATTACACACCTGCCTCATTCTAACATGACCACATTCCTAGTTTGTTTGATCCTTGCATTCTTGCATTTTTCTTCTAGGTTTTGGGTTTTCAATGAACTATTGCTGTTCCATAGGATGTCTGTTTGTAGGACACACACCAAAAAATGCTGGCTTAATATGTTACAGGGTCATAGAACTCAACTGGTAATTCTTTTTTTTTTAACTATTTTTTTCGACTTTTCTTTTTTGGTACTGGGGATCGAACCCAGGACGTTGCACTTGCTAGGTAAGCGTTTTGCCACTGAGCTACATCCCAGCCCTCAACTGGTAATTCTTAACAGCAATGGAAATCTCATTCCATTGCTCACAGCTCTCATAAATGGATTTTCCAAGACAAATCTTGAACTTCTAACAAATACCTTTCCCAGACACAAAGGTCAAAATCCTCACTATCCTTGTTGTTTTAGTGTAGAGTATCTAGGCTAACTATTTCTACATATAAACTGACTGATATTAATTTTGAAATTAAAGAGGAAAAAGTATGAGCAATATTCACAAACATCAAAACCATTTGTGTCTGGGTCAAAAGACTTGAATGGGAGTCTTAACTCTACCATTTGGGAACAGAATTTTGCAACTTTATCCCCTCAGAGTTCCAGTCTTTCCAACTGTAAAATAAAACATAATAAAATAATAATCCCTTGCAAATATCATGGGGTTTCTATGATCATCAAAATGAAATAAGAGATATTAATGTGTTTTGTAATCCACAAAACCCCACATGAATCAAGTTTTTTGCCATTGGCCTGCTATTCTTTTTACCTCTGTTATTAAAAGTCAACTCTTCTGGTCCTTACCAAACGTAAATATCATCCCTACACCTGGAAGTACAAATATCCATTTCTTTATGGGAGGAAATACTGTGCAAAAAGAAAAAGTTGTGGACTTGGAGGGTTTGTAGTAAATGTAATAATAAAGCTCAGGGTTGGTAATGCGCAGGCCTCAAAAACAAAAGCAGATGCATCAACATGTATCTACACCCAATGTTGGGATATTTTTCTTGCCTTCATTTTTTAAGGCAATTACTGGAGCCTAACATTCTCACAAAGGTACTAGTTCCATAAATTCATGTAGCCTAGTCCTACAGCTGCTTTCTCTGCAGACAACTCAATTGGAGCTGCCAGTGCTTCTTAATTAACCAGCAAACATTTCCTACATGACTAGAACAGTACTGGACATGGGGGTTGGTAAGACAAATAAGTAGGAGACTTGGCCTCTTTCTCTCCAAGTTAAATGTCTAGATGGGACAGGAAAACAAACAATTAGAGTCCCACTGGGACACACATTGTAAGGTAGTCCTGACAAGGGTAATAGGATCTTATTCATTCACAGTCTGCCTATTCATCAGATCTCCCCTTTACTTCTTCAGACAACAAACCCTGATTGAGCTCCCACTGTGCTCAGGACGGTGCCAAGGGGGGGCAGGAGAGGATTTACCGACTGAAGACAGCATCCCTCCTGCCTTGAAGACTCCCAGAAAATGGAGGAGACAACATTCATAAGGCAAACAGACAATAAGGAACATGGCATCTCATTTAAAGGCCAGGGAAAAGGTACCTACCAGGTCCACAGACAGAATCTCCCAGCCGCTAGGGTCTTCACTGTAATCCTCACTCCACAGGGGAGTGAGAGGTTAGGAATCTGACATGGCTGAGAAGTGGTGGGCCCACCTGAGGCTACTTAATCTCTGAGCCCCTGTGGCGATGGTGGGGCCACCTGAGGCCACTTCAGTCTCCCAGCGCCTGGAAGCACCACTCCAGGGCTTTGCAAACTGAAGCAAACTTAAGCCCAGGGCTGCATTTTGTCCTCTTGCACTCCCCACCCCCCTTTCCAGTCATTCTGCAGGACTCACTCACAGGGGGAGTACAAGAAAGACGGACTGAAAGAATTAGAGGTAGCACTAGGATTAGAACTGATGCTTGTCGAGTTACCATACTGCTGATTAGTTCCGGGGCCACCTCCGCTGCTTTGTAAATCCACCCTAGAAGATTCAGATAGTCCACAAAGCCTAAGTTCGCCAACTCAGAGCTGCAGTGTCTTTTCACACTTTCCCTCTCCTCCCCCTCTTCTGAGAGCAGAAGGCAAGCTATACAAGGATGAAGTACAGGAGAGACTCTTCCCACTCCTGGCCCCCTGGAAATCCTCTTGTGCTAGGCACGGATGTAGTCCTCTGAGGGCCAGCGAAGGGAGGTGGACATAATGGGACAGGTGCTGAGTTGATGTGGAGTGCTCACAAGTGCCTGCTCTATGCATCTGACAGCACAGGCTGCTGTCCCATGTAGTGGCAGAGACACCATGCACAGATCATCTGCCTGGTGATGACTATGTAGCTTATCAAATAACCAGTGTACCTTTAAATCATCAAATATTCAATTAACTACAGCAACAATTAATGGATGGCATAGGTTATTTTAATAATTCTGGTATGTATCCCTTTAGACCATACTTCCTGGTGATCAGGATAATATAAGCCATCAAAAACACTGTGTGGTATTAAGAAACATAAGCAGCAGTCAGAACTGATAGAAAACATGGAGATTAATGTAAAATATTGAAAAGAATAATGATCATCATATGATTAACCTAGTGGAGTTCAATGCATCCCTGAGTACCTTATATCTAGGGGGCTATGATGGAAGAGAGGTCATTGTTGTCCCTAAAATCATATCGAGGTTGTGCATATTGCACCTTGGCAAAGATGTTCAAAGTAAAATTTAACAATTACAAGTTTAATTCCAAATTAAACAGTTGGGCCAATGAAACAATATCCACAACTGACACTGATGGCAGCTTCCAAATTAATTCTACTTGATTTTCATTAACAAATCATCACATTGATTCCCTGAAATAGATTTATGAGCTATTGTGCTCCCTGATATGGTATGGTATTACTAATGAAAGGAAAACTTAGGTTATAATATTGTACTACCAAATGCATTTTCAGAATTTTCAAAATTTTAATCTCCATCATTGATCATTTGTAAACATGGGGAACAGCAGACCCTTCAGTTCTTATTTGCATGTGTTCTGATACCCTTTTGCTCCCAATACAGGAAGTCCCAATTTTCCAAAACAAACTTGGAAAGATACAAACTCAGTTCACATTAGGATCTGTCTGTCCCTTGCTCCCTGGCTCATCTTAACCTGTCCCCAGTCTAGTTTGTATTCATGAGTCTATGATTAAATGAGAATATTTAATATTTCATAACCTGTAGACAGAATTCCTTAGGTAATATGGTAATGTAACTTTAATCAA